CTCTCTCTCTCTTTTTTTTTTTTTTTGGTCTTTTTCGTTTTTATCGGTACCAGGGATCGAACTCAAGACTGCCTGCTTGCAAGGCAGGCACTTACGCCGCTGAGCTAAACCCCCAGCCCCCATTGGTCATTGTCAATAAACTGATTAAAGAATTTCACAGCAATCACTTCCACAGCCTGCCTTATCGCAAGGTGATGAAAGCACACTGCTACCTCTGTATAATAGTGATAGTCTGGTTCTCTAAACTGGTAGATTTCTGAGCTCTCACCCAGAACACCAACATACAGTGTGGTGGTAGTCTTATCCTCTGGTGGGTCTAGGTGGTAGTCTTATCCTCTGGTGGGTCAGAAGCTTAGCTGCTATAGAATCATAGATTCCATTAACACTGGTCTTTAATATTCCAACAAGCAAAGGGGTTTTCTGGATCTGTAGGCTTCTCATGTATGTGGATACTCCTCTCCTCTCTTCCACTCTTCTTTCACCCAGAAGGAGCAAATATAGGGCTGATTCTTTTTGTAGTAGGGGATAGCCCAGGCAAGTTTAAGCACCATGTCATGGTGGATGTGGCTTTCCCCACCATGCCAGCTTGCCATGCTCAATCAGAGTTAGAGATTTCTCTCTCCATATTTTGCGTGTAGTACTCTTTGTGGACATCTGATTTGGGCATGGCATGTTTAAAAGATGGTCCTGCATCACAAATCTAGATGGGAAGGCTATACTGTAGGTCTAAGAGGTAGGTCTGGCAGACATTCTTCCATTTATTGCAGGTTATGTACACTTCAATCTTCTTCAAGTGTATGCATACTCAGAACATCAGCAAAACACTGTAAATGGCCTGGCACAGATTTTGCATTCTTTCCAATACTTTTCTTTGGTCATTTGTATGTACAAGTTTTCTCAAAGACACATCTGTTTAGAATGGGAAAGTCTGTATCCTTCAGGTTCTGTCTGTTGTACATGTTGGGATCCAGAGAGATTACCATTTTGATAATTTCAAGGGAACACTGGTCGCTTCCAAGTTGGGAGAGAGGCCATGATGATTTTTTCCAGGTCCTCCTGGGCACTGGAGTTTTTCATTTTCTTTATATTTTTAAATTTATTTTTGTTTTATGGCAAAACCTCAAAATTTCATAACAATATAATAGAATAACAATAGTTAGTACATTGCATATTGTTATCTTTAAAGTATTTAACTCAGAATACAAGACACAGACATAAAATATTCTCCAAATTGTATTAGCATAAATCTTTTTCAATGAACTAAGAAAAACTAGTAATATAACTATTTTTTTCTTCCTTCTTTTCCTGTTTCTCTCATCCCAGTTTCTTTTCCCCTTTGAATAATTTTTTCCAATTTCACAGTATCTATTGGACTTTATTTACTGTTTCGTTTTCTCACACCAGGGAGACAATATAATGTTTATACATGTGAGTCTGACTTATTTCACTTACGAGTATGGTCTCAAATTGCATCCATTTATGTAGCAAAGTCTCCAGTTTATCCTTACTTTTGATGAGTTGGACTCCATTGTATAAAAATACTACATCTTTCTTAGCCTTCATTGATTGGTGGGCTTTGGGTTGTTTCCAAGATTTAGCTACTACAAATTGTGCTGCTATAAACATGGGTGCACATTTATCACTGTGGTAGAGTGTTTAAATTTATCTGAGAAAACACCACGAAGGAGTATAGGTGGTTTTTATGGGATCTTTAGTTCTAGTTTTTTGATCAATCTTCATACTGATTTCTACAGTGGTTGTATTAGTCTACACTCCCACCAACAGCTGAGAAGAGTTCCTTTTTCTCCACAGTCCCTCCAGCATTTGTTATTGGTTGATTTCTTCTTCTTTTTTTTAATTGGTTGATTTCTTGATGACAGCCATTTTTCTGGAGTGAGATGGAATCCCAGTGTTGTTTTAATTTGTATCTCTTGAATGACCAGTGATGTTGAACATTTTTTCATATATTTACCTGACATTTATATTTCTTTATCTGAGAATTGAGTATTCATCAAAGGTACTTATTTTTGGATTGAGTCTTTGAATTTTGGGGGCCTGATTTTTTTCAGCTCTTTATATGTTCCAGATATAAATCCTTTGTCTGACAGACAATTGGCTAAAATTTTTTTCCTACTCTGTGGGTTGTCTTTTCATTCTGTTGGTGATTTCTTTTGATGTGCAAAAACTTTTTAATAAGATGAGATCCCAGTTGTTGATTCTTTGAAGTGTTTCCAGTGCAGTTTGGGTTTTGTTCATGAATATTTGCCTATATCTATGTCTTCAAGTTTTCTTCCTACTTTTTCTTCCAGTAGACTTAGTGTTTCTACTTTAATATTTAGATCTTTGATCCATTTTTTTAGTTTAGTACAGGGTGATAGAAATGGTGCCAATTTTAGTGTTTGGCATGTGGAAAGCCAGTTTTCCCAGCACCATTTATAAAAGAGGCTTTCTTTAGTTTTTCTATTAATTTTCCACAGTGGGTCATAAAATGTGGGAGACCGGCCAAGTTGTGCTCTCCTGAGAGACAAAGCCCCTTGCCTCAATCTTTCCCTGACCTAAACTTCAACTCCATTTACTGAGATATTCAGAGAGATATCTCCTTACTTGGCCCAAAAATGTGATCAAGTCAGCTGAAGCCCCAGTGAGTTTCAATATAGCTAGATGGCAACACACAGATGAGAATAGCCCCATGCTGATGTCTGCAATAGAGGCTCCGGTGAGAGACACGAGATTCCAGCCCTTAGATGTGAGATAACATCTCAGCTGAGGCCTTGGGACTCAAAAAGTGTACCTTCCTGGTAGTAAAAGTCAGCCTTGCATACATGAAGCTGTCCATTGCATTGTTAATTGGAAGCCTTTGTACCTGGTGCAAAAATGCTCTTTCTCCTTACAGCCAATGCCTTCAAAGTTTCTCTTCCCTAGCACTCATCCGTGACCCTCATCCACCTCCCCTACTGATACCAGGGAAAGCTGTGAGAGCTGTCTCAAGGCTCTTTTGTTCCACAAAGAACACTGGGTCATCCTAAAGCCTCATCTACAGAATTTTCTCTCTTTGTCTTTATTTTTCACCCATGGGCCACATTGCCAGGTGGGAGACTGATTCCTTCTGTGGGAATTGTAGTAACTGTCTTTGTTAGTTGTATAGTCTTGGGCAAAGACAATTAGGCTTTAGATTCTGTATCTGAAAATAGGCTTCTTCCTTAAAGAATTATTGTGGGAATGAATTACATATGCAATGTGCACAGAAAATACATACTGAGGAGATCATGATGAAGCAATTCTGAGCAGGATTTAAAACTAACCAACTGACTTTCTATATTTACTGTGAGTTTGTCCCAGGTCTAATTCTGTTTGTCTGGAGATGGGCAGTAGATTCATAGTAAGTGACTTTATATAATCACTGGTCCTGGCAGAGGCCTGGAGTGGCCTGTGACATCAGTGACGCCTCAAAGGACAAGATAAGGCCACAACTGAAGATGCCTGGTGCCAACCCCAATTAACTAAATAGAGACTGTTGCTGTAAGTATTTCATTCCTGCTGTCTCAGTCTTGCCATAAGTGTCAACCTGGGGGTAAGATAGTTCTCCTAAATCAGCCTAATTTACTACTTGGAGAAGTCTTTGAACTGACTCCCAAGGTCCTGCTCAGTTCCCACATTTTCCTCAGTATCCCTTCCCTTTGTCTTAAAACCAAATAAATATGGGTTTCCCAGAGAAGTTTTTTGTGTCAGCCCCAGAATCTCAAATTCTGTTAGAGGGTGTTGATCCTCCTGGAGCTCTAAAATCATGCCATTTGTTTCATTTATTTAAGTCTTCGCCATCCACTCATTTGGGAGGTTATGGGCCTTATCAATCCACAATAACATACCTCCCATTATACCTCTATTTATTTATTTATAGATCTATTTTGACTATCACTGTCCTTGATATTTTAGTATTGGTGTCATGAATAATAAATGACAACTCACACATGCACACATACATTTTTAGAGATAGCAGTGGGCCTCCCGATTTTTGGAATTGGCTAGAAGCAGCCATTCCCTCCTCCTTTCCTTATTATTTTCTATTGGATACAGTAAACTAAAAAAAAAAAAAAATGTAATTTCCTTTATTTAGACTTCCTGCTCTCCTTATTCTTTCAGCCAGATTTTACAGCATTACCAAGGCTTTAGCAAATAGAGTAATTACCTACTGCAGAAAATGTGACTCAACGCTTGCTTTAGATTAAACTCCAGGAAAGGTTGAACAGTACAGTGAAGAGAAAAAAGGACAAGTATTCCTATTTATTAACAAAGAATACCTAACTTTTAAATATAAGTTATGCCTCCGTTTCTAATTAGCATGCATTTCAGTGCCTTGTTATTGACAGTGACTGTATTTTCTGAACCAAACATGAGGGCATAATAAGCAAAACGGTACCTTCAGGGAGAGGCAACTATATTAAATTGGAATTGTTACAGGAATTTCACAGCTTGGGGGTTGCTCAGCCAATAAAAATGTATGGTACTTAAATTGTAACGGGCTATAATTTTATTCCACTTTGATTTTATTTTTGATTTTTTTGAGACAGGATCTGCTATGTAGTCCAGCATGGCCTTGAGCTGGTTTATGTAGCCCAGGCTGGGCTCGAACTCACGTGATCCTCCTTCCTCAGCCCCTTAAGTGCCAGATCATTCTACTTTTATTAGAAACGCTAAACATTTTAGAATGATTGGAAAGGCAACCCGGACTCTAGACGTTTGACCTAGCTCCACGTCAGTACGTGGAAGTCTGCTATGGCTAAGGCGCGGCTGGGAAAGTGCGCATCTCCGCCGCGCAGATGGGGGGCGCGCCTGCGCCAGGACCTGGCTCTAGTTCCAAAATCTAAGGCTGCGAGTTTGAGTATCCATAGCAACGCGGCGCTTCTGCCTTCTATCAGCCTACCCCGCCGCCTCAGTAGTGAGAGACCCGTCCCAGTGGGAGGGACCTGGGCTAGGAGCGGGCACACATGGGGGAACTGGGGGATGGGGGTCTAGGGAAGCTTCTGGGAACAACTGCCTTAGAAAAATTGGGTTAAAGTTCGGCACAAAAGGAACTTGTCATTCCAGTCCTTTTGCCCACGTAGCGATGCCTCTGGAAGTGGTGGTGGAGCTGCAGATCCGGGCGGTAAGAAATCAACTCACCTCCCTTCCTTAAACCCCAAGTCAGTCTTAAAATGGTTTGGGTTATTTCCACCGCCCCTCTCCCACTTATCACACACATAATTCTCTTTTTGGGAAAACGTTAACTTTGTATGTAAGATTCTTTTCATTTGTCTTGCTGGGCTTCATAAGCTTTAATTCAGTTCACCGCCTTCCTCTCCCCCCAACCTTTTTTTTTTTTGTTGTTGTTCCAAAGCCCACGTATTTCTTAGCCGTATCCTAAATTGTTATTTTGAAACAACCCTGCGTTAAATTCAAGTAGGATTTTCTTATTTTGGGGATAAAGAATCGTGGAAAGATTTAAAATTTTAATGATGGACTAATTTAAAAAGCCCAATCACTTCCTGATAATTTGCTCCATGAACCAATCAAATATTTTTAAAACAATTTCCTTTTAGCGAAGACTTTGGCTTGCTAATACCAAGAGGGAAATCAATCAATAAATATTCTATAATTATTCCCCACATCATTCTTAAGTGAGGTGCTGGGGCAGAGTGACTTTATTGTTCCTCTGTGGAGCTGTCACTCTTACTTCAGTTTCCATTTTCCAATTCTTCCATCTGTAGTTAGTGTACCTTTGCTTCCAAGTTGCTAGGGGCTTCATACAGGCCATGTTTACAAGCACAAGAAAAATCTGACTAGCTTCCATACAATTAGCAAATGCTGAGGCTTCATCTTATATGCAGCTGTGAAACAAAGGTAATAAAAATTTCCTGATTCTGTCCCACTTCACTGACAGCAAATAAGGCCAGACCATATGAACTGTGCTGTAGCAATTGCAAGCTTTCAAAATTGACCAAGAACACTTGAGAAGCTGACTGATGTCTTCCATATGAGAGCAGAAACTTCCATCTTTCATTCAACATTAATTTTATTTTGAATTTTAAAAGCCACTTTTATTGTATACTTTACAAAGAAATCAGTTTTCTACTCTGTAGTGCTTAGGATGCTCCAGAGTCAGGTGAGTTGTTCTGTGCTTTAGATGTCAGCTAACTCAGGCCCTGGCAACTAAAACAGGGAATCCAGAAGTAAAACTAATGATGAGAAGATAAGCTCCAGTATGCAGCTTGTGGATAATGCAACAGGAAATTTCATTGCTTTCAAGTATCTGGCCTGAATATTGCTGTGATTAAAATGAAGGATCTCAGTTTAGACAACAAATCCAAACCACTTAGAGCTTTACAGTATGGCTGATTCAGCAACTAAAGAGGTAGTCAGTATTCAGGGCGTTGTGGGAATGCAGTAACTTTAGAGAAGTAGCTGTTCCTTGTTTGGTATGCCCTCATTCTCAGAAAGTGCAGGTTTCCCCCCAATCACAGGCACTCTCCAGATTCCTATCCACATCTCTATTATTATCTATCCATCATTCTTTCTATTTATAAATGTCAAAATAACTAGTCATTACAGTAAGATACCAGCTTCATAGGATAATTTAAAGCTTTTCATGTAGAGCAACATTTAAAACATAACCTTTTCTGTCTTTCCAAGTTAAATAACGAGCAGATTCCACCATGGATTTGGTGGTCTTTGGTCTTAACAAATCAGGGAGGCACCATGGATAAACAGCTTTAAATGTAAAAGTCAATGTAAATAAAATTTAGGAGTTATACATGGTGCCTGATACAGCAACAGGCCATTCTGATGAATTTCAAGTTAAATACTGTTACTACTACATGCTGTATTGCAGGAAAATAAATTACTTGTAAAAAAAACTACGCATACAGGTCTTTTTTATAGTATATATGAGAAAGCTTATGCATTTGTATTGAAAAAATCATGTTATTTATTACTTTAAACATTATTCAGTAGAGATGACGGGTACCAGGACCCCATTTCCTGTCATATCGGTCATTGACATAATATGTGGTTAGCATACCTGTAAACTCTGTTCCTCAGACTTTGCCCAGCAGCCTGGCTTGTTTGTCCTCTGTCATGCCATGCTACTTGTCCACAGAATTAGCATGAAGTCCTAATCTCATCCTTACTTTTCTGTGGGCAGTTTACATATGCCCACCTTTAAGTGCTTCTTCTCTAGGTTCTTCATCAGCTCTCCAAATGCTAAAAAAGAGTATTAGAGAGTAGGGGGAAATAAACATCCAACGATCTTTCTAAAGGTATAGGGAAAGATAAATCTCTTTTCTCATTGCCAATCAACAAAGATGGAAGAGACAATATAAAAAAGCTTACCAAGAGAATCAGGATTAAGAAGGAATTTCCTCAATTGTGATAACAGGTCTTCAGGGAATAAACTAGGAAAACCTATGCTTTCAATTTTTAAAATACTGTTTCACATCATCTCAGGAAAAGGACTAGAATTAGTATATGGCTTATCTGCATATATATATTTATGGAATGAAGATCGTGTTTATTTCTCCCGATTCAATTTACAAGTGATATGTTGATTTTGGGGGTTAGTACACAGCACAGATCTTAAATGTCAGCTTTTTAAAAACAGCAACCATATAATCACAGCTTGGTTTCTTTGCAGTTTCCTGGACATAGAAACAATTGTTGAATACACATATAACAGAAGGATTTTTTGCTTTCCCTAATATGGCTGTGTTTACTAATGGCCTACACGTGCTCTGATTTAGTAACATATCAAGTTGGTGATATGTTAATCCCGAAGGAAGCCTGAAATATCCAAAAGAGGCCGAATGTGGCGTCATCGAATGTGCAGACTTTCAGACTTCCCAGTGCCACCATTTATGTGAGATGGTGTCATTGTTGATTCCACAGTACAAAGAGGAAGGGAGCATTGTGGGGTGACAGCCAGCAATAGTCCACAATGCTGTATTGCATGTAGCCCAGGAAAAAGCCAAAAGCTACATCAGTGACATTGTGTCGGCCCAGCATGACCCTGGAGAGACCTAAGACAAAGGCCCACAGCACCACCAACACTCTCAGTGGAATGGCCAGTACCAGGTGGTTCAGGATGAACCTCGACACCAGGACAGCCCTTGTGGCATGGCCCGAGGGGAAGGAGTATTTGTCCACCGAGAGGGTAACAAACATGTCCATCTGATTGTGGGCCGGGCGGCGCCTTCGGACCAACCCTTTTATCAGGCCCACCAAGAGGAGGTCCAACAGCAGGGCGAAGAGTAGGTTCATCAACACCTCGCGCCCGGCCCAGCTGTCGCTCCTGGACAGGCAGTAGAGGGTGCCCAGCAACCATGGGATGCCGTGCCCCGAAATCTCCAGTAGCTTCATGAGGGGTCTCACGCTGCCCCAAGCCGAGTTCTCCCCTGCACACACCCCCAGCTTCTTGGACAGCCAGAGGTCGATGGCCAGCAGAGAGCGCAGGGCAATGCCCAGGAAGGACGGGTTCAGGTCCATGCGGTCTTCCTCCGGCAGCGGAGGCGCGGAGGCCTGCGACGGGCCCGCGGTGGCCAGCGGGAAGGAGCCGCGGCGGTGCACCGGGCTCTCGGACGCGCGGAGCCGAGCGCACAGGGGGTCCGCGCCCGCCGCGCGGTTGCTGAGCAGGGACTGGAACTCGAACCTGCCGCCGCCTCCATGGGCCGGGCTCCCCGGGCTGCTGCTGTTGCTCGAGGTGGAGGCGCCCAGCGGCCTTCCCTCGACGTTCCTCCGGGGGCTCGGCATCGCAGCGGGCGGCTCTGAGCCCGGAACCCGGCCGGCATAGAGCGGGGCTTCCTGGCCCTGCAGCGTCTTCCGCTTCCGCGCTGCCATCCTTGGAGGGGCGGGGAGAGGAGCCGGCGCGAGCGCAATTGTGACACCTGGTGGAGACCCCACAGGGGATAGAAATTTTTAGCCTGGGAGGAGAGAGGAAGATGCTGATGCTGGGTGGTACAGGTAAGAGAGTGCCCGCGAGCTGTTATATATCAGAGTCTGTGGAGGTTAAGATAAACAGAGCTCCCCTTAAAACAAAACAAACCCTACTTGCACTTTCACTTTGTTATTTTCTTTCTTTTAAGGTTTCTTGCCCCGGAGTGTTCCTGCCCCACAAGCAAGATGTGTACCTCGGGGTCTACCTCCTGAATCAGTACGTGGAGACAGACTGCTTTCCCTCTGTGTTCCCTGTTGTGATTCAGCAGAGCATGAGATTTGAAAAGGTGATCTTGATTTTCCCATTGGGTTTTGCCTTCTGAAGATAATCGAATGGTTCTTATAAAAAGCCACAGTTTTCACAAAGTTATTTTGTAAATTTCCTTTAATAAAAATTACCCGAAGGCCCTGCAGCACTATACAAAACCACACTTGGCCTTGAAGCAAAACCACAGTTGGAAGACTTTTGCTCTCAGGTCTGAGCCAAGTTCTGTCAATCTAGTGCTAAATACCCTGGTCGATGTTTTCTATATTTGGAATTCCCTTGGCATTTTCTAACTGGAGCAGAGAGAGCACTTCTGAATGTTCTCGGAGGTGTTAAAGACAGTTGCATTACATTTATGAAAGGGTTATTAATAAACTGCAGACTGGGTTTACTTAGACCCAGAAAAACAGAAAAAACATAAACAAATTAGCTAAGTCGTGTAACTGAAATCTTGTAGAGAGACAAGAAGGTTCTTGAGGTTTATTGTTTCCTTAAATCACACCTGATGTATGTATTCACAGTGATATAAAGGCTTGATTCCATTCCAGTGAATATGATCAGGATATAAATAGCTAGAAACACTACCTTCCCTCTTCTTGTCTCAGTACTAAAAGAATATTCATTTCATTATGATACAGTCACCAGTAATTCCTAAATTTTTGTTTTGGATTTGGAGGTGTAATCAGATTTAACCTTACTAAGCCTAATGATTTTGTCCAAACAATGTCAAGTGAGATAAATCTTTTTGGGGCAAGGGAAGGCTCCCGGTAGAATATAACACTTTTAATGATCTAGTACATGATACCCAAAAAGTGATCTATTTTAACCTGAGGGTGAGAGAGAAGAAAAGTGGTTTATTGAATGGCTAGGATTGTATGTAATATTTTTATAAATCACATTCTCTTGATTTAAAGAATGTGCCAAACTGGTTGAGGAGACAGGGAGAGGGAGAAGGAGAGAGACAGAGAGAAAGAGAGAGAAAGAGCTATTTTCTTGGAATATACATCCTGAATCCAAAGGCACCTAATTTACTACATTTAGATGTTTAAAGTGTTGAAAAATAGTTGGTAAAAATGCTCTTTTTCTCCTGAGAATTTCCCTATTACTCTTATCAATGTTAAGTTTGCTCTGTAGAAAACTTTTTAAAAATTTCTTTATAAGAATCCCAAGGATATAAAATCATGAAGCACAGAATGATAAATGTGCAAATGACCTTGGGAAGAAGGAACAACTAGACCAATATCTTTGGTTTGGAAAAAAGGAGAGTGAGTCTCAGGGCCGTGTTCTAATGCTAACTACTGCTCAGTTAAAAAGTGGTACATTTGAGATTAGTAGTCTACTATGTCCCAGAACTATTTTTTATTTTCATAAAATGAAACTAAATAATTTACCTCTTGTATGAAATTGTTTGGGTTCATATTTTAGCTTTCTTTCCAGTTGGTTTCAGCTTTCTTTCATCTGTTGTGTTCTCTAGCTATAAATACTTGTAGTATATAGTGAAAGCATTTTCTCTTTTTCAATCTTCTATGGTTTTAGAATTAAATGTTCTAAAGCATTTAAATAAACAAATACCTCATAAAAATTCATGAGCCATTGTATTTGAACAGTTCATGTTGATCATTTACTCTGGACTACTTGAGAAAAATCCTTAGATATTTGTCTTGGTTACTTTTCTCTTGTTGCTGAGACAAAATACTTGACACTCAGAATTAGAGAAGTCCATACTCAGCTGGCTCCAAGGCAGAGTGGTGTGGCTGACAGGCAGCAGTTCATGGTGGCTGCAAGTAACAAGAACTAAAGCAAAAGAGGAAAAACACACCTTCGCTCCCTTATATTGTATGCCAGCTCCTCACCCCTGGGCAGATGCAGCACTAATGCCACCAATCCCAGCGCTAGACAACAAATCAATCACAAACTTTAGATTCAGCTACCTCCGTGATTGCATAAGGCTTGAGGGGGGCCTTCTGAACACAAACCATAGCAATACTGGTATATTAGTTTCTTAGAAAAACTATCACAGACTGTATCACAGACTGAGTGGCTTAGCAACAGAAATGCTGGAGGCTAGTATCTGAGATGAAAATGTCTGAAGGGCAGTGCTGTCTCTGAAGGCATGAGGTCAGCGATAGTGAACTTTTTAGTATCCAAAGTGCAACTCCAAACCTACTTATTTACCGCAAAGTGTCACTGCTGCAATTAAACCTCTATACTGAAGTGTTAGTTTAGAAAAACAACTCATGCATTAACGTCTTTTGTCATAAAAGAAAAACGTAATAATAGAACTTTCAATGATACAGAACTTTTCATTGCAAGATAAAAGTTTGCATTTGAGATGCTTCTGCACAGTTAATGGGGTCTTTGCTGTGGTGTGCATGCTGATAATGTGTGGAACGTTGGCTCAAACTTTGTTAGTTTGAGAGCAATACATGCTGCACTCAAATCATTTGTTAGTCTGTTTTTTGTATCCAATTTATATAATTCAAAGCTGAAAACAGCTGCTCATAGGCATAAGATGAGCCAACTAAGAAGAGCAATACCAGTGCTTTCATTGACTTAAAATTGTCAGAGAATTCCACACTTTAAGAATTTCCTTTTCAGAACTACCAACTATGCTGTCCTTTGTCATCCCTTAATACTCTATCTTCTCAAGTGTTGCACACAGATCATAAGAGTTTATTTTTCCACATAGAACTTTGTTGAAATTCCAATTGCTCCATTTCCAGATTCCCAAAATCTAACCAGTATAATAAGCAGAAAAGATCAAGTTCTTCAAATTTGGCTCTGTTTGGAGTATGGAACTGCAAAAATCTGTTACTAAAACTCTCCCTTGCTGCAGCTGTAATGAAAATATCTTGTAGATTTCCTGGTGGCTTGTAGAATTGACTGCAAATGCTGTAGAATTTTCTAAGTGCATTCTTAGGTTTGGAAAGTATATTTCAGCTGCCTACTTTCAAGATAATTTTCAAAACCTGCAGTTTTCTCTCAAAAAAGTTTTGATATCACAGAATATCTTTACTGCTGTTCTTCTTATACTTTGTACTTTTTTTGTTCAATATATTGAAGTGTAGTGTAAGGTTCATAAAACTATAAATTTGTTAAATCAGGCCATATCAGTGAGTTGTGGATATTTCTGTCCTTTTTCATTGATAAATAGCTTAACTTCATCCAATCAAGCTACAAATCTCTATAGGACTCATCCTCTGCCTAACTGCTGGACATTATTGTACATAAGTAAAGTATTATACTATGCCTGAACATCATTTGTACTTGAAACTGTTGAAAATTCAGAGTACAAAGGTACAAATTCTCTACGATGAATGTCATCATTATGTATATCTAAATGTACCAATAAAATCTGATTTTTAAATAGCCATGTACAAGCCATGATGCAATTCATATTGACTGGAAAATCTCTGAGAATATCATCCAAATTTTTACTGCTTTCTCTGGCACAAAGAGCTTCTTGATATATAATGCAATGAAATTGAATGACTGGATGTTTTGCTTCTTCAATAGAGAACTGTATGAAGCCAGATGTTGCCCTCACCATGCAAGGTGCCCCATCACTAGTAATCAAAATCACTTTTTCTGGTCTATATCTTATGACAAAAAGCCTCCACCACAGTATTATGTATGTGTTCCTTGTGTTCTTTTAGACAAAAACATCTTTTTTTCCAGTTCTTCTCTCATGGTATTTAATAGTTAAGTGGCATCTTAGAAATGCCTTGTATAATTTTATTCTGGTTCAGGAAATCACGATAAAGGAATTATCCCCAGATAACATGGCCAGTTTGATAAAATCCCCATCAGAGAGGGGCTTACCATGTTTTTCTAGGACAGTGAAGTTTGAAAACGTAACTGTCAGATGATTGGTGTTAGAAAAATGTTTGCAGAAACTAAGATACTAGAAATGATATTTCTTCAATTTTCCTTCAAGAAACTCTCCTTTCAGTTCCACCAAGTTTTGTAACACCTTTATGCTGGTGTCAGAAGTGCTATCCGACTCTTGATATGTGACACACAATGTTTACACTACACAGAATACATATGTGTTCCCCAATGTGTTTACTCCAAATGACTCTGTCCAGGTTTCTTGAAATGTTCTTGCACTGTTTTCAGTTCTGCTTTTTTCTAAATACAAAATCATTTTTTAAATATAAAGTCATGTTCAAGACTTGGGAGTCTACACAAACACAAAATTAGAAAAAAATGAAGTGCCCGATGCAAATCTATCCCTACACCAAAATTAACTAACACTATTAACATTAAAGAGTTGGATATTCCCTGAATCAAAAATCAATGGCAGTGATTCTCAGCTAGAGGTCCTCTTGCATTTGCTGACAACCAGTGCAAAGGGGCAATGTTCTACCATCCACTAGCTTTGGTCTGTCTCTGAGAAAGCCATCTGAGTATGTTTCCCAACTTGCAGTTAGGAAAATTATAGCCAGTCCAAGAAAAAAAACATATTTTTGCTTTTGTTTTCATAAATTCTTCACAAACAACTAAATCATGCTACAGACTCAAATGTGCCAGAGGGACAGCACAGTATCAAAAGAATTTTAGTCTCTTAATTAGAACATCTATGTGCTAAATTTTAGATATGAAATTTCAACTTGTCATAAGGAAACTTTAAGCTAAAATCTTGTGTTAATAAAACCAGTGTATTAAAACAGCCAGTTCAAGTAAATCTATGTCCATATATCTATATCTGTACCTTTATGTCTATATAACTGTATCTATATCTACATCTATATCTATAGCTATCTTCCTGGCAGTACACTGACCAGGCATCAGTGAGTTGTGGCTGATCAGTTGCAGGTGAAGACAATGTCCCCTGGTGCAGCTACTTCTGAGCTTGTATGTGGCTCTTTTGTGCACTGTTACCTGATGTTTTGCTACTGGCAAGATGCTGGGGTGACCACCTACTCTACTTTGACCTCATTCTAATTTAACTAATTACATGTGGAAATAAGGTCAGATACTAAGATGCTGGCATTCGGATTTCAACCTATGAATGTTGAGGGGGACATAGTTCAACCCTTAACAATGAGCCCAGGAAAGGGATGCAATTGTTGAAATAATTTAGGCACAAAATTACCCAGATTTGTTTAATACATCTAAGCCACTACGACAAAGATGGGTTGTGAGGGACAGCTTCCATTTTTGTCCTCAGAGCAGACCTGACTTTGAATCTAAGAGCAGATTTTTAACCATGCTTAAGTTTAAATCCATTTGAATCAGAACTTTACAAACTGAAATTAAACTCTGTTGAAAACTTTTTGTTTTCCACAGTGTTCTACATAGTGCTCGACAAGAGAGGCTTTTACTTGACATGCCTTTTATTTCAGTACCATTTATTTGAAGGACAAAATAGATGACAGTTTTGGCATTGGCTAGAGAGTTACCACACTGCTTTACTTTTGTTCTATTGCACACTTAAAATCTAAGAGTATTTCTTTCCTGGAATTCTCTAAGCATATAGCTGCTAGAATTTAGGTTTTCTTTTGTGTTGTAGGTGGGCAGAATTTCTATTTATGTTCCTTCCTTAGCACAACTAATTACTTGGGAGAGAAATCATTCAGTCAGCATTCAATGAGTATCTGTATGCAGAATGCTTTTCTAGTTACTTGTGACTCTGAGGTTGATGAAAGATGTCCTTTTAGCAACAAGTGGTAAAACTAGTTCAAGGGGATGACATTTTAAGCATGTTTAGAGTTAGCTAACTCCTATTTGGTTAATACTTCTTGTTTTGTTACTTTTCATTATTTGTTCTATGGCAACACGGTAGAACACTGCAAAAAACCACACATTTGTTAAAGTGCTTCTGTTGAGTCCTAAAATGTTATATGAAATTTTACATATGCTAATTATTTATAAGCATATTTTTAGTTTCCATATTAATGAAACTTTGAAAATTTATTTTTCTCTATTTTTTTCTGTGCAGGTATTTGAAAATGCAATAGATCCTGGAGCTGTATCAGACCTTTTAGAAAGTAGGTGCTCACACAAATGATAACAAAGGCTATTGTGTATAAGTCGCAGGTCTAAAATTCTTCTGATTTCTTAACTGTGCTACTTTCATGTTTGGTTCATATTTATAGTCAAGAGAATCTATGGTAAAATAGAATCATGCTTTTGAGTCTGTTAATATAGATGGGATTTACTGGATGGTCTGCTCTTATTTAGTTGTTTATAAATATTAAGTGTATATAAATATTAAGTGGTTTTTGAGTATTCACAGAATTGTGCAGCTGACACTGCAATAATAAGATAATTAAATCAATTAGAGTATTTTTTTAAACTTTTTATCGGTACCGGGGATTGAACTCACGACCACCTGCTTGCAAGGCAGGTGCTTATGCCGCTGAGCTAAATCCCCAGCCCCCAATTAGAGTATTTTCATTACCACAAAAGGAAACCCTGTACCCTTAAGTAGTAACTTTCTGTTCCCTTCTAACTCTCCCTGACAGATATAAACACTGATCTACCTACAGATTTGCTTATTTGGGATATTTCACATAGATGAAATTATATAATATATAGTCCTTTGTGATTATTTTCTTTCACTTAGCATACCTTAAATCTATTCATGTTATACCATGGGCCAGTATTGTATTTCTTTTTATGGTCAAGTAATATTCCATTGAATGAATGTACTGTATATCTTTTTATTTTAAAGAGAATAAAACAGAATAAAGCCAATCAAAACAAACCAATATAAAAGATACAGGACTTTGAAACATGATGAAATCAACAATAGTTACCATAATGCCTTTTGGTGTCTTCAAAATAGCTGCAGATAACTTCAGACATTGTAAAAATCAAACAACATAATAGAATAGAAACAATAAAAACAAAACAATGAATACAATAAAGGACTTCAAAACAAGCCTATAGTAAATCCAAAATTGCTACCATACTATATTTTGCTGTCTTTGAAGTAGCTGCTCTGCCATCAAATTTGACATAAAACCAAAGAGAATAAAACCCAACTCAACAAAACAATGGGAACAATATAGGACTTCCAAAACAAGACCACAAGGAATCAATAATAGCTGCAACCCTCAGAAGGAGATCCCCCCTACATGTCACATTGTGCACTGCTGGTCTGAACCCATGGTCAGACCACTGGCCCTAGACCAGCAATGTTAGTGAAACACCAAAGCACTACAGGCATCCAATTGCATTTCATCTCCATAGCTGTCATCACAGCCTGTGTTTCTCTGATTGGTACTTCTTGTTTGCCAGCCTATGCACCCTGGAAGAGGCTGGGGTCTGGCTGGTCCAGTCTGGTGGTGGCCAGTTCATAGCACTGGTTCCCAGACTAGGCTATGATGAATAGTTATGCTATAAATATTTGTATACATTTTTTTTTCTGTGTGGGACATATGTTTTCATTTCTTTTGGAAATCTATATATTTATATGTCTATGTCTACTTACCTGTCTCTCCATCTAGCTACATGTATGTAGAAGTGGAATTTCTGGGTCATATCGTAGCTATATAGTTAACGTGATAAGGAACTCCTATATTATTTCCTAAAGTAGTGAATCATTTTACACTTCACCAGCAATGTATGAACATTTCATTTTTTTCCACATCTCCATCAGTATTTGTTATTATGTTATTATGGGTGCATGTGGATATGATACGGTGTCTTACAATTGTTTTGCCTTACATTTCATGGTGCATAATGATGGCAAGTTGTCATGGTTTATGTTTGTGTCCCCCAGGCCTCATGAGTTTGCATTGTTCATATATGATGGTTCATTGTATAGTGCTTGGATTGATGGTGTCAGTGCTCCACCCACGTAGGGGTGGAGCCAGGATGTGATGTAATGGCAGGAAGAAGGTGTGTTTTTCTCTTTGCTGGTTTGAGTTTGCTGTGGGCGGCGGTCATGAACTGCAGCCCAGCCATGCCTGCCTGTCTTGGAGCCAACTGAGTGTGGACTGAAACCTCCAAAAACTGTAAGAAATAAACCTTTCCTTTCCCAACTTTGGGCCTCAGGTATTTTGTGTCAGCGACGAGCATAAAGTAACTAAGACACAAGTATTCTTTGAAGAATGTCTATTCAGATTCTTTGCTCAAATTTTAATCAGGTTATTTATTTTTTTCCAAATTGAGTTTATGTATTCTAGACATAAGTTCCCATCAGATGTAGGACTTGCAAATATTTTCTCCAGTTTTTTACATTATATTTTGCTTTCTTGATGGTATTCTTTGAAACAGAGTTTTTAACTTTTTAAAAATTATTTTTATATTAAAGAGAATAAAACCTAACAAAATAAAACAGGATAAAGCCAATCAAAACAAAACAGAAAGTGGTACAAAACTTCAAAACAGAATAATAGGAATTCTGCAGTGGCCACCATATATTTGTTATCTTCATAGTCATTGTCCATACCATCAAATATAGTAAAATCAAACAAAACAAAGAGAATAAAACCAATAAAAAGAGATTAAATGAGATAAAATAATAAGTCAGAACAAAACTAAAAAGTGACAATAATGTTGGATTTCATAAACAAGACAGAAGGAAATCCCCCATATCTGCTACATTGCATACTGTTGTCCTCCTAATAGATCTTAAACTACCAGCTTTAGGCCTGCAAAGTCAATCAATACAAGCATTTAGTTGTTTTTGTACCTCAATTGCTATCAACTCAGCCTGTCCCCAAACCAGCCAGGAAGAGAGAAGCCAGCCCACCACTCCCAGGAGTCAACAGAAGCCATTTTGGTCTGGGAGGGGTACAGCAGGAAGTGCAGCTTATGGGAAGGGCAAATTGGCTTCTTCTTGTACTCTTCCCAGGCCCAGCATGGCTTCTGTTGACTCTTGGGAGTGCTGGGCTGGTTTCTTTCTTCCTGAGCCCCACGTGGTTTGTGTGGCTTATAGGAAGGGCAAGCTGGCTTGAGAGAAGTTTTAAATTTTGATAAAGTACGATTTATTAGACTTTATTTTATTGCTTGTGCTTTTGGTGGCATATCTAAGAAATTATTGTCTAACAAAAAGACATACGTATGTCTTTTCTTCTGAGAGTTTTATAATTTTAACTCTTGCAATTAGGCCTACAGTCCATCTTGTGTTGATTTTGTAAGTGGTACAAGACAGGCCCATTTTCATTCTTTTGCATGAGGCTATTCATTTGTCTTAGTATCATTTGATAAAATGTTACTCTTTTTTCTCCTCAAATTATGTTGGCAGCCTTGTGGAAAATCAACTCACTATAATGTTAGGGTCTGTTTTTAGGCTTTCAGTTCTATTCCACTGATCCCTAAGTGATTGTTTGCCAACACACAGTCTTGGTTAATGTAGCTTTGTGCTAAGTTTTGAAATCGGGGAATATGAAATTTCCAACTTAGTTCTTTGTTAAGACTTTTTTTTTCTATTTGAGGTCACTTGAGTTTCCAAATGAATTTCAGATTCAGAATCAGCTTGTTAATTTCTGCCAAGAATCCAGCCAGTATGTCAATAGGGATCACATTGAATCTGTAGATCAATTTGGAGAATACATTGTCCTGCCATCTTAATAATATTACACCTTCCAATCATGAATGAGGGATGTGATTCTATTTATTTTAGTTATTTTGTTTAGACCTTTCTTCCTTTCTAAGTTAATTTCTTAGACACAGACATAGACACTCAGACACAGACACAGACACAGACATATACACACACATACTGCACCAAAAAATGTATACCCATGCAGGAAAAGAAAAACTAGTATGATAATTTTTCAACAGTTAGTGTTGCCCTCATTTGGAGGACCCTAGAGGATGTCTTATATCACAGAAAACACACTGTGCTATTGGCCCTTAGCACAGAAATTAAAAATGAGCGTGCAGAAAGCTCAAACGTTACCCAAATTTGCCATACTGATAAATTTCTGGAAGGTAATGGCCATCATTTTGAGTACCTCTTACACTTGTAGAGGCCAGAGTTAACTTGTATTAATCTTACAGTGTCTCAATAAATTTATTATTAAAATATTTATACAAGGTCCTCTTTTTCTGAAGTGTATATACCTTTTTTAGGTGGAATATCTATCTATACCTATATCTATATTGACTTTTTATCATAAAGAAATGTTGAACTTTATCACAAGACTTTTCTGCAGCTATTGGGATGATCATGTGATTTTTATCCTTTATCTTACTGATAATGTTGATTTTTAGATAGTAAGCCAATCTTGCCATCCTGGTCATGGTTGGGTGCATAAGGGTTACTTGATTTGGTTTGTTAGTATTATATTGAGGAGTTTAAGATCTGTAGTTGTAAGAGACAGTGATCTGTGGTTTTGTTTTATTTTTAAGACAGGGTTTTACTGTGTAGTTCAGACTGTCCTTGAACCACTGTGTAGCCCAAGCTGGCCTTTTACATCTGGCAATCCTCCTGTCTCAACCTGTCAACTGTTGAGATTTCAGGTGTGCAATACCATACCTGGCCAGTTTTGTTTTCTTGTGATATTTTTGTCAGGTTTTGGTAATATTGGCCTTATAAAATGAATCGGGAAATATTTTTCCCTCTTCTATTTCTGGAAGAGTTTGTGAATAATTTGTATTAATTCTTCTTTAAATGTTTGATAGAATTCACCGGTGAAGCCATATGACCCTGAATTTTCTTGGGTTTTCCTTTTTTTTTTTTTTTTTATTTAACACATTTAATCTCTTTATTTGTTATAGTTCTCTTCAGCTTCTCTATTGCTTCTTGAGTCAGTTTTGGTTTATATCTATCTAGGAATTTTCCATTTATTTATTTAATTTGTTGGTATAAAGTTGTTTATAATATTTCCTTATAATAGTTTTTATGTGTGTAAGAGCAGTGTGATATCCTTTTTCATTTACAATTTTGATAATTTGAATCCCCCCTATCTTGGTTACTGTAGCTAAAGGTTTCTCAGTTTTATTGATCTTTCTAAAGAATCAATTTTTTGGATTATTGTTTCTGTTTTCTATTTCATTAATCTTTGTTTAATCTTTATTATTTTCTTCTTTCTGTATGGCTTAGGTGTAGTTTATTCTTTTTCCCCTGTGTCTTAAGGTAAAAGGTTAGACAATAGTGTAATTCTTTTTTAAAATTTTATTGTATTGTATTGTATTGTATTTTAGTTTTTGAGACAGGGTCTTGCTATTCAGTTCTGGTTGGCCTTGAGCTCATAGCCTTCCAAGTGCTGGGATTACACTTGTGTGCCACATTCCAGGTGGATAGTGTGATATTTAGTCACATGCTTAAGCTTTAAGAATTCTTTAACTGAGATTTTACTCAGTTGAAAGAATTAGTAACAAAATCACATACAGAATATAGAGTAAGAATCAGAAGCAAATTTTAGGAAACAAAGAAGTTCTGGATAAAGAATAGAATCAGGATCAGGCCAGGTATTGGGCTGATCTACCAAGTATATTAAGAAGTTCAAAATCAGACAAATATTGATTCTGTCACTACAGATAGTGTATGTGGTCACTGAATAGCTATTCTGGAAGAGAAAGGTGGAATAGTGAGAAAAATTGTTCAGAAAGCCAGGGAGACAATAAGAAAATAGAAAATCTACAAGAATCAAAGGTGAGGTGGAAGAGTCCGAAATAGTAAGTAGGTCTTTGATGGATTGATTGAATGTGGACCTGACCTTAACTCACAGCATGCAGAGGAAACCTGGTTACTATTCATGCCATTCACAAGAGCCTGAGAATTCAGAAAGAGGAATTGGTATGGGAAGAATTTAACTTCGGACAGCGTGAAATGAGAATACCAAGGGGAGATGTTCAGTAATGTGGAATGTAACGGAAGTGCAGGAAAAAATAGATGTGGCCGATCAAAAGAGACTGGAGATGCTTCAGCATGTGTATTTTAATTAAGCTTTGAATGAATGAGGTGATCTGGAGAATGATCACAGAAAAGGCCTGGAAAGAACTTGAGCGGCATGAGAGGGCAGACTGATGGAGAGGAGTCTGTGAAGGAAGAATCTCAAAAGATCTCTACAATGCCATCCATGATAGTGCATGTCTGTAATCCCAGCACTCTGGGAGGCCAAGGCAGAAAAAGGGCAATTTCGAGTCCAGCTTGGACCACTTAATGACTTGGAAAAACCTTGTCTCAAAATAAAGAATAATAAAGAGACAGGGGTTGTGGTTTAGTGTGAAGGTCCTAGGTTCAGTCTCCAGTACTGCAACAAACAAAAACAAAGCAAACTCTACCATAAACTGTTTTCTAAAATACTGGGATCAAATACATTCCTTTGAGCACTAAAACTGTGTGTTTCAGTCAGATATGAAGGCAACTGGATATAAAGCATCTACCACAAAAATGATCCCTTTGAAATTTAGCTTTAAAAAAGCAGATGTAATACCACTACATTTACCTTTGCATCTGAATCTTAAGAAGCAGAAAGATGAAACGTCTGCCTGAAATGGGTCACATCTGGATGGGCACTAATATCCTCAAACCTCTTTAAATTCAAAAGAAGGCTGCAGTATTTTCAAGTGAGAATATAAGAATCAAGATCTTTTTATTTCAGTTCCTAAATCCTAAATTTTGGGAAGTGAACTAGGACACTCAAAACAGCTTGGAAAACAAAAAGAGTATTAGAATAGTTCTTCAGATCTGTTATTTGCTTTGTTCTTGGTATTTAAAATAAGTATGGGTATTTTATAAAGCATCCTAACTAACTTGTTCCATAGAAAAGGAGGATTTTGTTTGTTTATTTATTTATTTGTCTTTTTGAAACAGGGTCTCACTATGAGTTCAGAATGTCCTTGAGCTCACTTCGTAGCTCAGGCTGGTCTCGAACTTGCTGTTTCTCTTGACTCAGCCCCCCAAGTACTGGGATTACAGGTGTGTGCCACCATGTCTGGCCTTTTTTTAGTCTTTTTGAGACAAGGTTTTACTATGTAGTTTAGGCTGGTCTTGAACTCATTTTGTAGCCCAGGTTGACCTCAAACTTGCAGCGAGCCTCTTGCATCAGCCTCCCAAGTACTGGGATTATAAGCATGCGCCACTATGCTGAGCATGGAAGAATGGGATTTTTCAGTGGAATATTTTGTGAGTCAGGGAACCAGCCTTGGGGGACTACTTGGATTTCAAATGGAGCCCTGTTGCTATTGGTTATATGGTCTTACTAAACATTTTTCTTTGAGATTTAATTTCCTAATTCATAAAAATGAGGATAGCTCTAACATTTAACCCATAGGTTGTGCTGAGAATTAATTTAATATAAGAAATTTAAAGCCTGAAACAAATTAATTGTGTAATGTTACCATTGGGGTAATAGTAAATATGTATACCTCCACCCATTTTGAAAACTGAAAATTTCAGGTCATTTTGACTTTTAATGTTTTTTCTCATATATTTATATACTTTTTTTGTAGTAAGAATTTTGCTTTCATTGTCTGTTTTAAGATATCACTGCTAATATTTTGTAGAAATTATCTATTGTGATGCTATTTACCTTGTTACCTTTAAGATTTGAATTTTATTCTTGTTTATTAGACATTATAGATGGGCTTAATATTTCTAAATATATTTTGAGCTCAAGAAATGTAACTTAAATAGCTATATTTTGTGTCTATTATATAATCATATAGTACACTATTTTAGAAGAGAAACTTGCATGCTAATAGATAACAATAGAATTTTTAGAATGAAAAATGCACTACACTGTTATTTTAGTGCTCTGTGAGTATACCTGGTTTTCTCGGAGGAAGGATCTTCTAGTTCAGCTTAGGCTGGCCTTGAACTCATGACAATCCTTTTACCTCAGTCTTCTGAGTGCCGGGATTACACACTCATGCCTGACAATGGATATTTTTTCTTTTTTGAGCAGTAGTAGAGATTGAATCCAGGGCCTTTTGTATTCTAGGTATTACTTTACCATCGAGCTACATCTCCAGTCTCTTACTTTTATAAAACAAAATATTACACTTTGGGTCCATACTTTTCAGGAGGTACAGTGCTATTTTTATAAGTTAGTTCCTGTCATTCCACTCCCTCACTTAATTAATACCTGGGTCACTGTTGATATGGCACTTATTTTTAATTATAGTTGCCCAGCAGTATTCATGGGAAATTTGTTCCAGTATCTCTGTAGGTACCCAAAATCCATGATGCTCAAGTCTGTATATAAAATGATGTAGTATTTGGTTATAATCTATCCATATGGTATTTTCTAATATATTCTAAATCATCTCTTGAATACTTACAATGCTTAATAAAATGTAAATGCTACATAAGTAGTTTTTCTGTATTATTTAGAGAATGATGACAAGAAAAATCTGCACATGCCCAGTACATATACAACTTAAAATATTTTCTGTCTGTAGTTGGCTGACTGGTTGCGTTATTATTACTAATAGTATTTATGTGATGCTTTGTAGCCCATTAAACTTATACTTTAATAAAAAACTGTGGCAACCATTTCTTAACCATTAAAATCTTATTTTCATTTCCTTTTTAGGCTTCCTAACCAGGTTTGAATTAATACAGCTAGTGCCTCCAGGTAATGTGCCAGAAAATACACTTTTAAGCTGCCTTAAATTGAAGAGAATTTTAGTATGACAAAATGGAGACTGATACTGAAAATTTGTGGCTTAAATGAACATCACTTGTATGTTCATAAGTTTATATAGCATGCACTTTTCCTTACTGCCAGTCTATTTAATTTTGTCTACTACTTAATCCCAGAATGTTTTCACCACTCCAGAAAAAAACTTTGTCCTCTATAGCCATCGTTACCCATTTCCTCTTCCCCACAGTCCCTGTCCACTACTACTGTACTTTTCTTTTCTATTGATTTGCCTATCTTGGACATTTCATATACATGGAAAGCTACAATGTGTGTGCTTTTATGTTTGACTCTTTCGCTTACTAGCGTTTCAAGGTTCAGCCATGTTGTAGCATATATCGGATCTTAATTCCTTTATATTCCTCAAAAATATTCTTTGTGTGGATACACAACATTTTGTTTATTCATTTATTGGCTGGTGGACACTAGAGTTGTTTCTACTTTGTGATTACTATAACAATGCTTTTGTGACCATCTGTGTACAAATTGTTATGTATTTGCTTTCAGTTCTTTGGAGTATGTACTTATGTGTGGAATTTGTAGGTCATATGATAACTTTAAATCTTTGAAGAATTACCAACTCAATTTTGGTTTTCACATTTTTAAGTAGGTGGACAAAACTTTTCAATAAAAATATTTAATTACTTAAAAATTATGTGAAATTTAAATTTCATCATCCATAAATGAAGTTTTATTGGAACACAGTCACATTCATGTTTAAGTATTTTTTATACCTACTTTCATGGTACAATGACAGAGCTGAGGAGTTGTGACCAGATGGGTTGAAATCCTTAAATATTTACTGTCTGACCTTTTACATAAGAAGTTTGTGACTCCAGGGCTAGAATGATGAGATTTTAGAAAGATCCTGTTCTGGGTCCCTTTGCTGTGTGGCCTGTCTGGAGCAAGGTAAAACCTGAGCTGGTGAGGGAGGGCAGGACTTACCAGTTCTCATGGTCTCTCAGTTTGGCCCTGGTGGTTTCAGGGTATCTGCATGTGTGTGTGTGTGTGTGTGTGTGTGTGTGTGTGTGTGTGTGTGTGTGTGTGTGTGACAGAGACAGAGAGAGAGAGAGAGAGAGGAGGATATATGGGGTAAGTATATCCATAATTCAGAAAATTTTCTTTTGTTTCCTTTCTCTCATTACTGGGGTGAAATACGTGGCACCCAAAATGAAGGAAGGAAAAATTTATTTAGCTCACTGTGGAGGTTTCAGTCACTGGGGTGACACTTCAAGGAATCAGCCAGCAAAAGTAGCCAGAACAAAAGGGGGAACAGCAAGTCTTTTCTCCTCCTTTAGATTGTACACAGACTACCCCTCTCTTGCAGGTGCAGTGTGTTACATAATCTTGCCCTCCTCTTGCACAGGATAGGGATGTTTGCAAAGTAAAAATCCTGGCTCCTTGCTGAGTCTCTTAGTACTTCTCAAGTTGACACAGTGTGTCAAGCATAAAAATTCACCCCTTGTCAACTTGGCAACCAGATATATTTCTTTAAATATATAGCAAGGTAAAACCTTGAGACCATGAGAACTGGTAAGTCCTGCCCTACCTCACCAGCTCAGGTTTTACCTTGCTCCATATTTCTATAAATATATCCAGATATAAAGGCACACTTACTCTTAGCATTTCACAACTTGAATGTTACAAAACAGGTTTAACAATCCTTAAGAACCAGTATTAAAGTCTGTCAACATTATATTATATTAGAATCAGTGTCCCTGACCCCCTAAAGATTCATACACAGCCCTTTATGCACAAGGTATTTAGTTGTCAAAGATCTAACAGTTTCAGCATTGCTGTAAAGTCCAAGTCCCAAGTCTCCTCTAAGATTTAAGACAAACACTTAGCTGCAACCCCATGTACAAATGAAAACAAAGTTAATCATGTCCAACATGTAATGGCACACAGTAAACATTTTCATTTGAAAAGTTACAAACAGGGAGATACAAAGGACTGGAACCAAAGCAAGTGCAAAATCCAGCAGGGCAAGCATTAAGTCCTATAGTTCCAAGTCCAGCACCTGAAGCAATCTATAGCAAATTGTGAGCTCTAAAGGGCTTATGTGACTCTACCCCTGTGGTACTTCTGGTGGTTATAGCTCCCATGGCTTCTCTCTTTGGCTAGGTTTGCGCCCTCCTTAGAGCTTTCCTTAGATGATCCACGCTCCTGGCTTTTCCAAACTTCTGGGCTCTCCATTGCACCTTTGGCTTCACACTCATAGCTTCTTCACACATTGCCCTCCCAGGGGCACGCTGCCTGGCCTCCCACACCTTCTGATACTGGGGTGGAAGCCTTTTAAAAAAATTTTCTTTTGAAGAGAATAAAACCATATGAAACAAAACAGAATAGATTCAATCAAAATAAAAGGATGAATATGGTACATGACTTAAAAACAAAATACAAGGAGATCTACAATGGCCACCGTAATGCCTCTTGTTATCTTCAAAAGAATTGCTCATACCATCAGGCATAGTAAAATCAAACAAAATTGTACAGAATAAAAGCAGTAAAAACAAAACAATGGAAACAATATAGGACTTCAAAAGAAGAAAATAGTAAAACCACAATAGGTATTATAATGCATCTTATTGTCTTCAAAGTAATTACCTCCATCAAACAAAACACAATAGAATGCAATCAATCAAAACAAAATGATGAAAGCAATGCAGGGCTTCAAATCAAGCTAAGAGGGAAGAAAAAAATGGTTAGCATAATAATATATTTTGTTATCTTTGAAATAGCTATCCATGCTATCAATATAATACAATTAGACAAACTGAAACAATAAAATCAAACTAAACAGAACAATGAAAACAATATGGGTTTCAAATCACAATAAATTAACAATGGCCACTGCTTTCCCTTTGACAATTCCTAGACAATTCCTCCCCTTTCACTTTCACAAGATGTATTGTACATTTTGAATCCTACTAACTCCTTTAGTTTTTATAGTAGGGAGGCAATACACTATTTACCTATGTGACTCTGAACCTTTTTACCCCTGAGCATGATCTCAAGTTGTATCCATTTATCTACAAGAGCCTCAAGGTTATCTTTCTTTATAGCTGAGTAGTTTTCCATTGTATAAAAGTGTCATGGCTTTCTAACCAGTCTGCAGCTGATGGGCAAGTACCCCTACCTCTTTCTGGTTCCCTGTCACATAGACCATTATTTTCTCCCCTTTGACTTTCAGTCTATAAACCCCTTTTCAGGTTAAATATTTTTCTTGTATAAAGCATATTGATAGACTCTGTCTCCTGATCCACTCTGTCCGTGTTTCTTTTTATTGGTGAATTGAGGCCATCTATATTAGTGATTATGGCCAACATTCTCTGCCTCATCTCTGCCATGCTATTTTCCTGTCATTGGTTGCCTACTTTCCCCCTTCATTCCATTGTCTGCCCTGCTCAGTGGGCCCCCTCTGCCACTGTTCCTGAAACCAGAATCTCTCTAGAATGTGTTTTTTGTAGGGTTGGTTTGGTGGTCATGATTTTCTTCAGTTGTTCTTTGTCATGGAAGTATCTTGTTTTTTCCATTAATTTTGAAAGATAGTTTTGCAGGGTACATCAATCTGGGTTGGAAGTTATTATCTTTCAGGACTTGAAATACTTCACTTCAAGCTTTTCTTGATTTGATGGTTTGTATCAAGAAATCTGTGTGATTCTGATAAGTTTTCCTTTATAGGTGATCTGTTTCTTTTCTCTAACAGCTTTTAAAATTCTGTTCTTGCATTGAATTTCTGGAATATTGATTATTATATGCCTGGGTATAGATTTATTTTGGTTATAGCTGGGTAGAATTCTGTATGCCTCACTTATCTGAATATCATTTCCTTTTCCTATGCTTGGGAAGTTTTCTGTAATTATTTCTGTAAATAGCTTTTGTACTTCTTTTGTGTTGATCCCTGCTTTTTCACTCACATTTATTATACTTAAATTATGCTTCTTTGCATCATCTTGTAGCCTTTGAATTATTACTTCCTGGTTCCTTGGTTTTTTTTTTTTTGTCTTTTTCCTTTTTATCGGTACTGGGGATCAAACTCACAACAGCCTGTTTGCAAGGGAGGCACTTATGCCGCTGAGCTAAATCCCCAGCCCCTTGTTCCTTGTTATATTTAAGAGATCTTTCCTCTCTTGATTGTAAGCTGTAAATCTGTCTTCAAGGTTTGAAAGTCTATCTTTAGTTTCTTTCAAGCAGTTTTTCTAGCTTTCAATGGAATTTTTGATTTTCTGGTGATCTCTGTGAATCTGTTTCATGTATTCTGAGTCTTTTTTATATTCTTCATTCAAGGTTTCCCCCATTTTCCTATGCTCCCCTATTCTTCTATCTATGTCTTCTTTAGAGTGCCTAGCAATTCTATTATTATATTTCTTGTTTCTTCTTTTAATTGAGATAGTATTTGTTCTAATTTCTTTTATAGCCTCATGAAGTTGTTTCTTTACTTCAGTTGCCATTACTTCATAAACTTAAGGTGTGCAACTCCTAATTTCTTCTGTGTTTATATTTCCTGGATCAGAACTGCTTGGGTTGGAGGTCAGAGACTGCCTTTTGCTTCTTCTCTTGTCATATTCCTGGTTTTTTCCAGACAGATGGATAGTGGGGACCCCGGCACTTGCCGTGTTGGCTACAATTTCTCTGAAGCCTGACTGATTTCTGTATCCCATGCTGGCTAGGGAATCTGATGGTGGCCATTGGATGTGCTGCTACAGGGCTGCCTGCTACTTTTTCCAGGCTGCTTTGGCTCACTGGTGGCATGTGAGGTAGGGTCCGCTGCTGCCTCCCTCCTGAGCTGGTTAACAGCAGGGGGCCTACACCACATAGAGTACGCGCATGGGGCAGAACTGGTTGGGGATAGATTTAGGGAAACCTCAGTAATGGCTGTTGGAATGCACACAGGGTAGGACTCAGTCTAAGCAATTTCCACCAGTCGGCTC